CAATAGTGATGACTAATGTGTGGTCAGATCATGCATTAACCCCTAGGTGTCTGCATTTTACACCTGCAGTGGATTTTTTTTTGGACAGTGTCTCTTTAAACTTTATGCAAACTGAAATATTTTTGGCCAGGACAGACCTGCAAGGGTCATACTACATTATCATATTGGAAAAATAAATGATTGTTGGATACTGGAAATGCAGACACAAGATAAAATAAAGTCCAGGTACATTTCTTTAAAATAAGTTAAAAGGCCAATTAAATATAAAAAACATTTAATACTAAGCACCTTTAAAAAGTAAGCCTTTTACTGTGACTCCAGCTACTTTGGTGGTAAAAATATGCCAATAGATGGAGGGTATTTAGCAGCCGGTCGATGCTATTGCTTTGTAAAATATAGCTGAGCATGCATGAAGTGGTCTTCTGCAGTATGTTAAGCCGCACAGGGTGAATTATAAAATAGCCAGACACTTCTGTTACACACTGGTGGATTGGGTTACTCCAAATTCCCAATGAATCCACTCAGTGTTGGCTGCATTCTGATCCCAGGAAGCAGGTACAGGGACCACAGTGGACTCATGATCTACTGTATATTGTCATTGGAAGTGATTTGTGAGGTCCACACGAGAGCCAATTAGTAATAAAAGTACTATTTTTATAAACTTTGTAACGACACTTTGCCTATTCTTACAGGATTGCACCTTCATACAGAACATATTGTAGTGGTACTAGAGTTATCCTTAAAAGCAAGAACCAGCTACATGCAATGAATACTGAAAATAATTTGAAGTAGTAGCACTATCGGGAAAAAAGTTCCAAGAGCTAAAAATGAAATTGGTAAGGACGGTGGAATTTGTCATTATGATCAAATGATTACAGTGCAAGCCCCTGAGATTTTTCAATGGCTCAGCAGGTTACTGGTCCCCATGGAAACCAAATCTGGTACATTGTCCTATACTCAGCTGGAGTATTGAATGTTGGGGTCTATTGTGCATGATGAGATTTCTTCTGCAACCTTCCAGCAACAGACTTCAGTGCTTCCTCCTGACTCGCTTCTAATTGAGATGCAAATGAATCTCTGCGGCTGATTACACTTCCCTCAAAGCTTCTGACAAGTGCAGCTGTATCCAGAGTTTGCAGACGTTCCAACAAGTGACTTCAGCTGTCTTTACTTGAAAACGGCTGCCAAGCTTCCACTGTCCTTGTGGAGATAGATTTGTTTCAGAAACACCCCTTCCCTAAACTCTAGCAGACACAATAATCCATGAAGCCATTGTAGTGGCTTTGTACTGACTGCAGTGGAACCTGCACAGCACTTTCATGTAGCCTAATCAGGGTGTACGTTTGTGACTACAGGTCAGGTCACATTTTACTGAAATACCTCCTTTATGGTTGTTCAGAGTTTTATTATGAAGATTTGCTGTTGCAAAATTCTGGGTAAGTATGTAAGTATGTTTCCTGAGATCATGTGACAAAAAGGGATTTTAAGCAATAGATTGACCTGGTGCACGCTGGATAAAAAAACAAAACCAAAGTCCTGTATAGGTAAGTTCTGAATGTATTTGAAGGCTTAAATCTGCACTCTCAACAAGCAGCTAAATACACACCTGATATACATATATAGCAACCATTTTGCATAAAAAAGGATTTGTAGTTCTTTGCAGACAGTTTTGTGATCCAGACCCCCTTGCTAAACAAATATTCAGATCTTCAATCTCCACTGGGAGGCTTGCAGTGTATGTGCAGCAAATAAATCTGCGTGAACGATGCAATGCTATTAAATCAGCAGTGACCCAAAACCCCTGGGAAAAAATTCCTGCATCTAGTGGAACCCATGCAAAGAATTTGTGCTGTTCTAAATGCAAAGAAGTGCCCTACCCAGCAGTAGACAGGTGCCCCTAATAAAATGGACACTAAGGGGCTGATTTATAAATCTTCCATTCAGTGAAATTCTAGATGAATGCTGTCCACATGGCAATACTGCCACCAGATGGTAATAAGGAGCATAGGAATTTCCTATGCTTCTTGACTCCATCTAGTGGCGGTAGTGCTGTGCGGATGATATTCACCCAGCTACAAGTTATATGCTGGGCAGAAGATTTGTAAATCGGCCCCTAAATGTATGTACATGGGGCAGCCATATTTGCTCTTTACATATGCAGTATGCTATCAATGATTGAAAACAGTAGTCTCTATATTTGGCTAACTGTTAATGACCACACCAGTGTTTTAAGGCTCTATCATGTATAGGGTGGTCAATTCACTTCAATGGGCTGCCCTATGCATGTCAATTGCTGCAAAGAAGTCCCCAAAGTACTTTGTTACCATGCTTTTTGATGTGATTTCATGCACACAAAAGCGCATTGTCCAGCAAGGTGCATTGGGGTGCCCTTAATAATTAATGGCACTGCATTGTATCTGAAAAGCATTGTGGCATACTGCCGCCATGCGTGATAAAATGTGCATCTTTGCAACAATGCACAGATGCAACCGGAGCCTAAGGCTGGGCACACACCTTACAACCATCGCAAGACTTTTGTCTTGCGATAGTTGTAAGGTACTTAAAAAAACTTACGATCTGCCTATCTTGCGATGATCGCAAACAACACCCTCTGAGGGGCGGGCTTTCGATGACCGCAATGCCGAACGGGCAGTGTACCGGCCCGTACGGCTTTTATCGTACGGACATGCCACAAACCCGCCGAACATCGTACGATACTCGGCGGGTTTTCGAACATGTCCTTAAGTTTAAAGTCGTGCGACCTTACAGTAGTAGAGGTCGCACGGCTTCCACAAACCTTACGATAATCGTACGATCGCGGGATTTCCCGCGATTATCGTACGATTATCGTAAGGTGTGTGGGGACCTTAACACTGTGCAACAATGCACAGATGTAATGGAGCCTTTTCAAGCTTTCAACCAGTAGTACCAGTACCCCAAGAGGTAATTCTTTTTCTAATAACAAATGTATCATAGTAACTTTATGTTTCAGCTACATGAATCATACATATATTATATATCACATGTTTCCATTTTTCACTGGTATGGAGATTAGCATTTTAAGGGTACTTTGGATTAGCTCACCACCTACAAATAGGCAGTGCTTGCTAAAAACAGATGTCTTTAAAGAGTTATTTCAATACAGTGGAGAAATACATCTTAAGTGTACCTTAGGAAGTTGGTTGCCGTTTTTGTGTAATATTTTTAAGAAAGCCTGCTAGCTGCAGTTTAAATGTAATTTTCAGCTAGCACTTCTACCAACATGGTGAAAAGTGCTGCATGATAAAACACATTATATATGTGTGTGATAAAACACACTATATATTAATATGAAGTCATGTACACGCATGAGCTTCAATGAATAAAACACTTTCCAAAACGATGCATGCAAATAACAAAGCCACGCACAGAACTCACAAAGTACATGAAAAATGTAAAGTGAAAATGCATGCACACTACCAAAAATATATTTCAAACATGGAAAAAGGTGTTTCAAATTCACATTAAAATTACAAACATTTGAGTGTTTATATATTAACGAACAGTAAATGAGCTTAAAAAGCCTCAACTGACCTCTGTGGCTGCAGGCACTGTGGAGCAACTCATCCTCAAATTTCACAGTAGACGCAATTAAGTTGTTCAAGTCGCCCAGCAGTTCAGCTCTCCCTGCTCCTTCTTTTCAAGGTGACTCGACAGCCTTCTCATTTCTAATGTAAACACAGAGCAGGATGGGCGGAGCGAGGATAGCTGAGCTGCTGTTTAAAGTACGGTATGTGGAAAATGTTAGCTTGAAAATTACTTAAAACCCCCTAAACAATATATATTTTCTGAAAGTAAAGGACCTATACAATAAAAACATACAAACTAAACCCAATCTGCTCCTTATCTGGCCAGCATCTAATGGATGTAAACCTGAAAGTGCTTAGAGTGGAACACTTCCTGGTTCATAGTAATGAGGAGAGCTTGGGGAACGGATCCCACATACTTTTGCAGTGAGCGCATTATAACCCTTGATTGCCATAACGTGTAGTCCTTGGTGGTCGACAGATTAAAAGAGCAACAGAAGCCAGTGAGGGCTTATTTTAAAGCATATTAAAAACATGTACATTTTACATTTCCATAGCTGACCAAAGATTTGCTTTATGTTTAGAAATGTAGGATGTACGCTACAAGTTATAAAGAAACCCTAAAACAAAAACCAGCCTTATTTCCGTAATATTCAGCAACACATTGTTTTTCTTCTTGCAAACATGAAAAAGTGCTTTAAATATGTAGGTGGATCTGACAGAAATGTGTGTATCTGGTTGATAAGAAAAATCTATAGATTAAAAGAAAGAAATCTATAGAGTAGAACGTTTAAGGCCCAATCACTTTAATGAGTGGCATTAACGTGCAAGTTACTGTAACATGCTGCAGCGCATGTTGAATGCCTTGACTGACCCCATTGGACGTTGGCAACAAACGCGCATTGCGTACCCAGAAATGGTGCATGCACTCAATTTGTCAGGACACAATGCAACATGTCCGTCAGTGAGGTGTATTTGGGTGCCATTCAGAATGAATGCCACTGCATCATACCAATACATTTAATGTGGATTGTGGTTAAGCCCACAGTAATGTGCATTTTACAACAAATCAATAATGGGACTGGACCCTTACAGTTATTCAAAATACAAGATAACACAGATATTGAAGGGGTATAGCTATTTAGTTTTAAAATCCAGTTCTCATAATCAGTCGAGGCTTGCAAGGGATCATGGGACTTCTGGAATGTGCAAACAAACAGACTCTTTTGTGATTCTAATGACTAACTAGTAGTGATACGTTCCCCCACATCATTTTCCCTCTTAAACATAGCATTTTTATTAATGTTTTATCCTTATGTAAGCAAATAAACCACAAACCAGCTATTGTACTTTTTTAGGAGTAAAAGAATGCACAGAAGCACTTACCAAAGGAAAGTGAAAACCTGTGTTTAGACATTACCATGAAAAGGATACAAGCTCTGGTAGAGAGGGATTAGGGACTTGACTGCTCTGCTGGCATTGATGCAGGTTGCACACACAAGTGTTGGTAAAAGCTTCTCGGTTACAATAGCGCCGTCAAAAAGGGGACCAAAAAACGGCACCTATAAAATACAAATACATAATGTGTGTAAATACACTGCAAAATTGGTTCCTCCTGTAGGAAAAATGTATTTATTATTCCAGGTTTCAGCAATCATTGCATTTTTCTTAATATTTATGGTTGTTATTGGTATGAAAGTTGCTTTTATTTAGTAACTGAACACAATTTTTTTTGTTTTAACAAAAAAATGATAGTATATATTATATA